AAGTATTGATATCATTGTTATCATTCTCCAAATATTCTTGACTAACCATTTGTTTTTATCAAGCTATCCTTTGAATGCAAGATATCGATCGACTTTTTGAATTTCCTAATATACAAGGTGTACGCCTTCTACTTTGAATATAATCTCACCCAACCTGCGAAATGCCATAGAATAACCCCAAAAAAAAATCCAATTACCATTTTCCAGGCGATGCCAAGGACCGCAGTCCTCACGCGTGACGTTTTACATATTTGTATGACTTTGATACTTGTCATTTTTTAGGATTAAAAAGAAGTTTTAAAAAAATAAAAAAATTTTTTTTAGTTATAATTATAATAAGGTTACTTAATTTTATGGTTGCACATGCTATTATTATATTTATATTAGAAATTTAACGATCATCAGCTTTCCTTTTTTTAATAAAAAATTGATGTATTTAATATTAATAAAAAACGCGTTAAAATATATTTCTTCGAATCTTTTTACAAATAAATACTTTCTTTTGAACAATGCCTTTTTGTGAATATTCGAATCTCAAGGAAATCAAAAACTTCACGGGTGAAAAAAATTCCAGTCAAATGGTGATTGCGTAAAAATAAGTCATGTGCAACCTGCGGAAAATCAACGTTTTAAATATGTTTTTGCACAAAAATTTTATTTAAAATTAAAATAATTTATATAAAGATCATTAGAAAATCGTTTTATTATATTCAAAAATTAAATTTAACTTGTGGGTAATTGTGTCCAATGATCAGCTCGTATAGTGTTAATTTTGGTAAATTTTGTTTTTTTGATATAGGATAGGCTAATTGGATTGCAGGCGATTGATCAACAGCATGACTTTCCTCCACATTAACAATTTTAACACAATCTTTATTTGATGGTTCTATAAGCATTCCATCAAAGGCTGTCTATCTATTTCGGGTGCTTTTATTTTTTGCAAATTAATATTTTTGTTCTGATAAAATGGAACTGTTAGAAATAGGATGCGAACTAGTGGATGATTCTGAATTCTGATTTTCGCAAGTCACCTCTGGTAGCAAATCAGTTGGTACTGATGAAGTGTTATCCGAAGGAATATCAGAAGTACCAGGTAAGTCCAAGTCTCTAAGTTTTTTTTCTCTGTTTCTTTTCTAACCTCATTACTAACCTTTTTCTTGTATTCCTCGTCCAAGTAAGCATCCAACTTTCTATCCTCCAATGGGGCTTCCTTGGGAGAAATATCTTCAATAGAACACACATCTTGCAAATTAGTTATGTCTCGAGTTTGCTATTTGATTTCGGAGTCTGATATTATTACATCATTCTCAACAGAACTAGTTTCAAGGGGTTGCTCCGCAATCAGGCCATTTTAATTCTTTCGGCTAAAATATCCCACACGGAAGTCTCTATATCCGGTCAGGACTCTTTAAAAGCATTTAATGTAGTACATATAATATGATCCATTCCTGATGAATTTCGCACTACTCTGTGAAAAATAAAAATCATGTGGACACTGTGAAAAAATTCACGCAATTTTTGCCATGAAAAAGAAATTTTATTTATACATGCGAAAAATAAATACAAAGATCGGGACGTAACTCGTGATATATGATGTTTCTATGCTAATAATGGTGAACTATTATACATGATGATTATTTTTCGAAATACCCGTGTTTTTCATTGCTGGCTCCTTCTCAACATCCACTCTACCCTTCACAGTGATGGCAAATGACCAGGTCATTTGGCCATTTTGAAATGACCTCTGAATGACCTTCGAATGAATGACCTGATCAATTGAGATCATTTGTCATTTGGTCATTTAAATGTAATACAGGCCAAATTTTAGATGCTGGCCAGAATTTCAAATTTATATCACGTGAAATATTTATGAGAACGTTCGAAATATTAAACATTTCCGCGCAATTTTGGAAATGAGTCAATTGACGCACCTAACTTGACCATATGAAATTTATATAAAATTGACATATTAATATCTAATACAATTTTTCATCAACAGTAGCGTTCCATAATCCAATTTTTCCATCTTTCTTAAATTGAACTTCAAACGTACATGGATTACTATCCTTTTGGCACAAATCTTAAATTCTCGAAATAGCGAACCTTCCCATTCTGAATTATATACTTATATTTTCGTTTATACAGTACGATTCAAATTTCGTGAAAAAATACTAATCAATATCGTTAGCGTATTAGTTAAGCGAATTGTACCATACCAGACCATCATCATCTTGATCTTTTAATTCTTGATTATAGTACACTTGATTATCTTGCTTTTGGTCAGATCAGATTTTTATTGTTACCGGTAGAAAGTAATTCAAGTAAAAGATTGAGCTGATTACGATGGTTAGCAAGTCTAAAAAGAAAAACAAAATTAAAATTTACTGTTAAAAAAAATTCATATGAAACAAATATTAACTTATCTAAAACACTTGCTTTGTAGCAAATTTGGACAGTAATTATTAAATTATTCAATACCTTATTATTGAATTTTTCAATAGGTCACAATTCTTCCTTAGAAAAATCTGTTAGACATACATGCCTAAATCTGAATATGATACGAATTTTTAATAATAAATAATCAAAACATATATTTCCTTTTAAAAAAATTTATATCAAATACCTAACATATATTTTAGCTTCTTTGTCAAGTAAATAGATGGTATTCAAAACTTTTAAAAGAGTGATCTCAATTGTTTTAACATTTTATTCACAGATACTAATGTTTTATTAAAAATAATATTTAATATGTTATCATTATGAAGTATAACTATATTCTTAAAACAAACTCATATTTCTGAAATACTTAAATATAAGTTTAAATATAAACCCTTTAAAGCTTCTTTCTTATTAATAATTTCCTCTTAGTAAACTAGTTTAAGAAATGTAACTTCACTAGTAATATCATATGATAGTATGAACTAAGCTAGAAGCTTTGCTATTTTAATTTTATAATTTTTATGTAGTAATTCCATCAAATAGCAGATTCAGATGCTCTAACATTTACAATAGTATAAAAATTTGTCTAAACTATAAATGATTTAATTAGTTATAAATATAAATATATTATTTAATTTACACAGTTAAAAATTAAATATGTTTTTATACCACAAGTACTTTAATATACAAATTCTTGACTTATATCATTACTTTCTTAATAATTCTATAAGAATCACTAATAACTATTATATACTTTATATTTTTTATATTATATCTAATAATTTATATAATAGAAATATCTGAATTAAGAAAAAAAAAGCCTATTAAAGAGTTTGTTTTCAAGAAAATAATCCTTATAATTATTTTACTTCTTGCTAAGCTTTTTATGTTCAATTTTTTACTTTATTTATCATTAAGATACTTTACAGATTTTTCCAATCTTTGGATTTTTATTCTTTATGTAATTTATTTTATTTTTCTAATATACTATTAGCAAATAAATTTTATTATTTAATAGCTTATTCAATTTCTTTATACAATTCTCATATTTTCAATTTGTTAGAATATAATTCAATTAAGTAATAAAAGTTTAACACAAATATAAATCATATGTTACAAAAAGTTAAATAATTAATACTTATAAATTCTTGCTCTTATGAAACATATGTATATTAGTTAATTTTTCAATTTTTTAATTTTTCAATATATTGTAAATTACTCTTTTTTTTTTCTAAGAATATCAACTATATAAATTTTCAGAGAAATTTTCAAAAATTTAAAGAAAATTTAATATAATTCTAATATAAACTTGAAAACATTCAAAAATAATTGTCATTAATTTTTTATTATTAGCTAAACCTTATTAAGTATTCATTTTTCTTTTGAATAATTTATTAAATTTATCTGTTCCTTTTTCAGTTTTTTGCTATCTTCATTTTTATATATTGTCAATGGAGCAATTGACCAGTCATAATGAAGTCACGTGGATGACGTAATATAATAATCTCTTAATCTAGAATTCTGAAAATACTGAGAATTCTACGAATTCTAAAAATACAGAGAATTTACATAATTCTGAAGATCTTCCAAATACTGATGATAATTCTAATTTTATAATTAATAAAGTTTAAGAATATTTAGTGTTATACTTATTTTTAATATTTTAAATTTTATTGTTATTTTTATTATATTTTATATTTTTATTATTTTATGTATTTTTATTATTTTCATATATTTATTTTACTTATATTTTATTTTACTAAATTAATTAGTTTATAGCATAGTAATTAGTTAGCCGTGACAAAAGAAATTTTGTATAAATAGATAGACTTTTTGCTTATGTTGTAAATTAATTTTCTTGCGAATACGAGTTTCAATATTAATAAAGAATCATTTAAAACTTATATCTTTTTACCTCTTTGTGTCTTCATATAATTTAATGTGATCTTTACACATTATTTGTAATTGAGTTCATCATCCGAATTCTTTAATTAAATTGTTCATAATTTCATTTTTTAAGTCTTCATACTTGATAGATTTGTTTAAGTCTAAAGCATAAATTTGGTAAAGTTAAGAGTTAAGCGGATCCTAACATCTTGATTACAGTAAACTGCAATTAAAAATTTCAAGTAGAGACTTGATAATATAATCACTCTGAATTGAAGAATTCCACAGTGATAAAAGTAATGATTCTTGTCAAGATTCAAACATAAGAAAGTATATGAGTTTTGAGATATAATTTAATATTGAGAGCAACTGAGAAGAATATCAAAGAAGCTTAAGAGAGAAGATAGAAGAAATGAAGTGTTGAATTGAGGTTATACAAAAGTTATACAAAAGCTCAGCAGATAATACCCATCATTTTCAACCTCATGAAAGCTTGTGTAATATTTTGATCACATAAAATTCACTGAAGATTACCTGATCAAATGATAAATCTCAATTGGGTAAAAGAAATAATAGATACAAATTTATAACTAAAGTTATGGATGTCATTATTTTGACTTTAATAAATCAGAATTTTATAATTTTTAGACATCAGAACTATCAAATCTTAAGGATTATAACAACATATATTTCATTTAAATCAGGCTATTGAATGACGAGATAATTGAAGAAATGTTGATTTTTTTTATTTTCTTTATTATATATAATTATTAAACTTATGAATTAATGGACAAAGTTTTTTTTTAAGTTTAGTTTTAATTATAGATAAGATTTTCACTAAGTCTAAGTAAAAAAATGAGAACTTTGGATTACCACTGATCCTGATGAAAAATGAGGGTTATTGCTAAGCCTATGGATAAAAGCATATGAGATATTAGAAATTTTTAAAAAAGGTTTATCACTTAACCTATGAATAAAGTGAAAGGTTACATTTAGAATACCTCAGATGGTAAAATAATCTGCCAAAGGATCTATATAAATAGATTTATAGATAGATTTAATTAATTAACTAAAAGTTAGCTAATAGACTAATTGAGTATCTATAATTAACTATATTAATATTTTTGGACTTTTAAAAATTTTGAAAAGATTTTTGATCATGTAATATAGCAAATAATATGACATTAGCAAATAAGATAATAACTATTATTTATTTAGAAAATGAAAAATAAAAGTGAAAACAAAAGTGTCAACAGTATGATTGATAACTCTTGAAATAATATTAGACAATTTAAAAGGTAAAATGCAACAATGTGAAACAATGTGCAAAATTTTATTGAATAATCTGAGAAATACAAATTTGAGATACATGAAAAGCAGAAATATAAAAAAATACAACAAGAGAAGACTATTCTAAAAATAAATAATAATGATAAATTTAAAGAAAACTAGATAATAAAAAAAAGGAAAGGAAATGTAGATCACATATTAGTAGAAATATATAATAAGTGTAAATATGAATCTGGCAAAGCGTATAACATTCTTTTTCATTAATGTTAGTAATCATTAATTATTATAAACATGATAAGAAAAATTGAATTCACGACTTCTCTGATGAAGTTATATGATTACTCTTTGAAATAACTGTCAAAGGTGAATTATTTCCTCTCAAAGCCATTCTTCTCTTTTCATAAGTAGAGCTAGTTGTTGTTAAAGATCATTAAAATATTATTGGAGACTATTGTAAAGGAACTCTAAATCTATAAACTCTTTATCTCTATTATCTAAACGAGAAAAAAGAGTCGTTAGTTTATTAGTTAGTTTAATAACTTTTTGTTGTTGTTGATGATTTTTTATTTCTAAATTATTGATATATTATTGGTGTTTTCTGAAAAAGGCAGACTGACAAGTGATGAAAAAATGTTTCCTTTATTATTTACTCATGTTAAAAATAAATGTAAGAAAAATTTTAAATTTTACAATAATTTTAGAAGAAAAAAAAAATTTGGAAGAAAATAGAAGAAATTCTTGGATAAATATTTATAATCAAAAGAAGTTGCTATGAAAAATTTTCAAGAATTTGAGAATTATTTTCTTGTAGAGAAATAAACAAAAATCCATTAAATCATATTGGATGACAATCATTCATAAAAATCTATGAAATAAATCTGTTTAAAATTAGCGTAGCTGATTAATATTACTAAAATTAGATGATTATGTAATATTTGCATGGTATATTTTTGATCGATATTTCTTTATTGAACATAAAATTCAGGAAATCTTTGTAAGTTATATAATTTAAGAGTTTAACAAAATGTATGTATAAAATCAAGAAATATAAAAATGTTAGCTTTTCTGAAAAAGAAATTACTTGCAATATTTACGTAATTTATACATTAAGAAAAGTTAAATGACATAATCAATTAATCAAAAGTTAATTTTAGATTTGTGTCTAACAATTTTCTTGTGATATATTTCTTAAATATTAGATTTCAATGAACTTTCTTAATATAGAAAAAGATTAAGTATATCATAAATAAAGATCAAATCAATATAATCAAGCCACTATATATATAGTTTTATTTACAAAATAATCGACATAAATATATAACTCAATCATAATTACCAGTCCAACCTAGCGAACCACCAGCAAAGAAAAATTCTAAGAAAAAGACCAAGTAAAAATAAAAATTCTAACTACCACCCAGATCACCCAACTGAAATTAAGTCTTTATAAATCAATCACTACTCTAAAATGCCTCTTTTTGATAAAGATTTCAGCTTTTAACGTATTTATTCTTTGTCACAACAGTTTTTCGCAAATATTTTGATTAGCTACAAGATATGTCAGTCTGTCTGCTATAAGTAACCTCTTTATTTCTTCTTTTTGTACTTAAGTTTACAGGGTCGCAAACTGTTTATAAACTTTATTTCTTTATTGTAAATGGAAAGTTCTCATACGTTCAACACTTTTTTGAAGATTATTTTTAAAATGATTATTAAAAGGCATTTTGTTTGAAAATTTGAAGATTTAGATTTTGAATAATTGAATCAATATGCGTAAAAGTTATATTTAAGAAAAATAATTTATTATATGACTTTAGAAGATCATTCAAAATTAAGCTATTTATATAGAATTTTAAATCTCATAATTCTAAAAATCAACAAATTTTAGCCCTATATAACGTTAGAAAAACCTATATTTATAAAGGTCAATTGCGAATAGTATAAATACGGTATGCTCCTCTCTGATAGGTCGTGCATGAATATAGCATGTATTCTGCAAATTCTTTTTGCAAATTTTAGAAATCCAGAATTTAATTTTGAGAAGAAATTATTTCTCACTACAACGTTCAAAATTCAAGTAAAAGAAGGATTATCAATAGAGCAATTGACCAGTCATAATGAAGTCACATAGATGACATAATATGATGATCTCTTAATTCAGAATTCTGAAAATACTGAGAATTCTGCGAATTCTGAAAATACAGAGGATCTACATAATTCTGAAGATCTTTCAAATACTGATGATAATTTTAATTTTATGAATTAAATAAAGTCTAAAAATATTTAGTGTTATATTTATTTTTAATATTCTAAATTTTATTGTTATTTTTATTATATTTTATATTTTTATTATTTTACGTATTTTTATTATTCTCAATATATTTATTTTACTTATATTTTATTTTACTAAATTAGTTAATTTATAGCATAGTAATTAGTTAGCTGTGATAAAAGAAATTTTATATAAATAGATAGACTTTTTGCTTATGTTGTAAATTAACTCTTTTGTGAATACGGGTTTCAATATTAATAAAAAAATCATTTAAAACTTATATCTTTCTGCCTTTTCATATCTTTATATAATTTAACATGATCCTTACACATTATTTGTAATTGAGTTTATCATCCAAATTCTTTAATTAAATTGTTCATAATCTCGTCTTTCAAGTCTTTATACTTAATAGATTTGTTTAAGTCTAACGCATAAATTTGATAAAGTTAAGAGTTAGGCAGATCCTAACGTTTTGATTGCAGTAAGTTGCAGTTAGAAATTTTGAGTAGAAACTTAATAATATGACTACCCTGAGTTGAAGAATTCTACAGTAACAACATTCTTTTCTTTATAATTTGATGAATCATTTTAAATTTGAAGGTTATAATGACTGTTTACTATAATGAATATAATTTATTAAAGAATAAAAAAGTTTTTGAATTTTACAAAAGATCTTAACAAAATATCATAATCATAAAAAATCAATTTTTTTAATCCTACTAAATTCACATTTTCTAAATAAATTATTTAGCAAATTTAATACTATTTAAATTTAAATTTCAATTTTACTAATATTAAAATTAATATTTATAAATAAAAATAATATTTTTATAATAGTATTAATTTACAAATTTATTTTAATATTTTTAGAATATAATTTAAAATTTAGTTATTTTAAATTATCTTTAATTAAGATTACTTATTTAAATAAACTTTAAATTTAGTAAAATATTTAAACTTTAATTTTACTAATTTTTTATTAAAGTTTTAATACAGTTTTTACCATTTTCAATAAGTTTTGATATAGTTTTACCTTTTCTTGAATTTGTAGATTTTTTAATATGATTTTGGTAAATTTATCTTTTTCTATTTAAATAATCTGTAAAACCTTTAGGTTTTATTTACTTTACTTTTTAAACAAATTTATTAAAGTAAATTTAAATTTTTTTTGTATTTTTAGTACACTGTTTTATTATAACAAAAAATTTTAGTTGTAAAATTTTGTTAAAATCTGTGTATTTTTAAAACTTTAATAAGCTTTGAACAAATACAATGTAAAAAAAAAAAATAGGTATTTAAATAATTTTTTACAGATTAAATCCGATCTAGACGTATTTCATCTCTGATTATTCATAATTTTTCTTTTTCTACAGCTTTTTTCTAGCTTTCTCTACCTTTTCATTTTTTTTTCATTTAATAATATTAATATGTCTGCAACAGATATTCCCGAAAATGCTCCGGAGCATTGCCCAGTATGTTGAATTTTTTTTTTTTCTCAAAACATCGAAGTTTCTTGTTTCTTAATTGTCATTTATAAAAGGGACCAGCCACTGAACAAGCGGGAACAGCTTCGGCATGTCAAGGTTGTCCAAACCAAAATGTATGTGCCACTGCTCCAAAGGGACCGGATCCTGGTAAATTTTTATATTATTATTTTTTGTTAAAATAAATCTTGATTTATTAATTTTAAACAAACCAAAATTATTATAGCTTTGCCATTCATCAAAGAGAGAATGGATTCGGTTAAACATAAAATCCTTATATTATCAGGTAAAGGAGGAGTAGGTAAAAGTACATTTACTTCACAACTTGGATTTGCTCTTGCCAATGATGAGAATATTCAGGTAATTGATATATGTAAAATAGATAATTTTATCTTCAGTAATAAATAAATCTTTTTTATTTTTATTAAGGTTGGAATTATGGATGTTGATGTGTGTGGACCTTCAATTCCAAAAATTATGGGGCTAGAGGGAGAACAAATTCATCAAAGTTTATCAGGATGGTCAGCAGTTTACGTACAAGATAATTTAGGTGTAATGTCAATCGGATTCATGTTATCAAATCCCGATGACGCAATTATTTGGCGTGGTCCGAAGAAAAATGGTAGAAAAGTAATTTAAAATTTGATAAAATCTTTACTTGTGATACAAACATATTAATCTTATTTTATCGATATCATAAATAGGATTGATTAAACAATTTTTAAAAGATGTAGATTGGGGAGATTTAGATTTTATGTTGGTAGATACACCACCTGGTACATCAGATGAACATTTATCAATTATACAATATCTTAAAGAGAGTGGAATTGATGGAGCTGTTATCATTACAACACCACAAGAAGTAGCTTTACAGGATGTTAGAAAAGAAATTGATTTTTGTAGAAAAGTAAAAATTCCTATTATTGGAGTTGTTGAAAATATGAGCGGGTTTGTTTGTCCTAAATGCAAGGTAATAATGGAAGGCCAGCTGATACTTGTTTTGATGATGAGAGACTTTTATTTAATGGAGGATTTTTTAATCATATTTAGGGGGAATCAGTGATATTCTCTCCAACGACTGGAGGAGCAAAAAAAATGGCGGAGGACGTAAAAATCCCCTTTTTGGGATCCATTCCTTTGGATCCTAGAATAGGTACGATAGATCTATCGATTTTATAATATTTAAATGGTTTTTTTAATCTATTTTATATTTATTTTTTTAGGCAAAGCTTGTGATACTGGTGTATCATTTTTAGATGAATATTCAGATTCTCCAGCATGTAAAGCATATCTAGATATTATTACAGGTAGAAAAAGACTTTCAGTTTAATTGAAAAGCAATCAAGTTATTTGCATTATAATCCAAACTTTTTATTTTTTGTAGAAATTAAGTCTTCGTTGACAACGCAAGGAAATTTTAAAATAATTAAATACTAAATTACTTTATTCAGTATTTTTTTTATCTCTATTTATTATGTATTTTTAATAAAAATCCAACTAAATTCAAGTTTATTAAAATTAAATCAAAAGCATTTGTATGATGATTATTCAACATCAGCCTAAAAAAAAAAAAAACGCGAGTAAAAAAAAAAAAAAAAAAATTACGGTGTATGATTCGAAACTGAGAGAAAAGGGGAAAGAGAAAAAATTGTATAAAAGAAAGAAAAAAAAAAATTTAAAAAAATACGTCAAAAATAATAATAATTAAATTTAACGCGTTTTAATAAAGTCTATATTACAAATTATATTAAACGATAAAATTACGCGATAAAATTATGATACGAAATTTACAAATAAAAGGTTCGTGATTAAAAATAAAATCACCAAACTTCAACACGTAATTTTTCTATGCCTTTTCTATCATTCTTAGATTTCTTGTTTAAGGCCATGGTTTTCTTTAATAATTTGTATTTTTTGAATTCAGGATCTCTATTAGTATCACCTTTAACTAAATCTTGATTACTTTCTAATTCAGCATTGGAAATCAAAGAAGACATTAATTTTTGGGAATGGATTCGATGAAGTTTAGTATTGTTACGACGAATTTCTTTACGATTTGATGGTTCGGCGGAACCTATTGAATCGTCATAGTCTACGTCATGATCACCTTTTAGTATGGGATCCGCATCATCGTTATTAACAACTTTTGGAGGGTTGGAAGGTTTCTTTTTCTCTTGTGAAATTCTATTAGTTTCATTATTATTTTTAGAAGGTTTTTCGTTGCTAGAAGATTTACGGCCCCATTTAGCAGCAGCAGCATACGTAGGATGTTTATGTGCTTGTATAAGTTGATATTCATCATCATCTCCACATTCACTTATAGAGTGAACGGCGTGAACAGTAATACGTTGAGCCAGGTCAATGTCTTCTTCAATGTCCCATTCACTGATTTCTTCCCAATGTTCGTTGGACATGATTATATTTGTTTATAAAGTAGGTATTTAGGATTTTATTATTTTTTATTTATTTATTTATTTTTTTTTAAAAAAAAAGGAGGGAAGAGATGAAAAAGATGAAAATTTTATTTAGTTGCTTTCTTTTTTAATGAGAGGAAGGGAGACAAGCAAAATTGGATGCGTTTTATATATTTTAATTTGTAATTGCATTGTTATTTATACAATATAATTTTTCAATTGAACGCGCAGTCCTTATCTTGGTCAATCGTTTATTTTAAAATAAAGATATATATGGTCTTTTGATAATACATATATATATAATTTAAAATCGGCCGTTTGTAGTGCATGTGAGTCCATTTTCTGCGGTAATTTGTCAAAATATTATTTGCAATAGGACGTACATAATATCTTGATAGTCCGCATTTTGGTTTATAAACCATTTTTGGAAAAGTCATTATTCTTTCCTAGATTTCTTGAGGAGCGTACATGCCGGAATTTCTGATGGATTATTGCTGCGTCATCTTTTTTCGAGCAAGAATCTTTTGTTTTTCTCGCTAAAAGGAACTTTCTTTAGCTTGTTGTGCTGCGTGATACCGTACGTTTTATAAAAAAGGGAATAAAAAAGAGGAGTCGCAGCATTTGCATTGGCGCAGAACATTAGTCATTTTTAGTAATTTTAATAAACGATAAGATTTAAATTAAAATCTCTTTGACGAAATGTTCATAAATATTGACACCACAATAAACTTTGTTGATTGTTTATTAAAAAAAAAAAAAAAAAAAAAAAAAAAAAAGCATCTCAAAGGATTCAGATTAAACGTTCTAATTATCCAATAGGAAAATTCCGAACGAAGGCGTAGCAAAAACGTCGAGATATTATTTGTTTATTGAGAAAGTGTAACGTGCATGTATCGTGAGAAAAGAATGTGAAACTGATGAAAAGGTCGATCCATGTATTGAACATTTTACTATAAATAACTCACTATCCATAAATGCCCTTTATTTTTTTTTAATCTCGTGTTCCCAAAGGAAATGACATAATTTTTGGATAAGATTTAAAATAAAAAAGATAACGACATATTTTAATTTTATTTCGCATGAAAAAAAAGTTGGTTTGGCGGTCACATTATTCATATCGGACCGCATGATATTAGTCACAAGGTCTCTCACAACTGTTAAACCTAATACGGATCTTCGGGTAATACTGACAAGATGAGTCATTGATAATTCACGTAAAATCCCGTTATGTTTCTTTGTTCTGTTGGATCATCATAAAAAAGATAAATAATAAATAATAAATAATCCAGCACGAAAAGACGTGTGTTATTTATGTGATTTATTTTAATGGATCACCTATTAGGGGTAATAATAATAAATGCAAGATGAGGAGTAGGATGCCTCAATTAGAAGCGCACCTTTAAATCTTACCAGAATTACGAGAGTTCACAAAGACGGTAAATCCGGATTTTACTTATCCGGCCTTATTTTTTGATTATCCGTTTTCCCTCGTATAACTGCTCGAATCCTTTCACAATCTGCCAATGTTGCTAAAACTTTTGGAAATCGTGCCCTTTTGCAAAAATTATTTTCAGGTCGATTACCTTGTGTAAAAGACTTTGTCATTTTGATTTGTATATATGGTATATGATTACTGGTTTGGGTATAGAGAATTAATAATCATTTCGCACGCACGGATGTATTTCCCTAATAAAAAGATAAATAAAAAGATATGATCCACATACACAATAAAGTACAAAGGATTGTGTCATCATTGATCAAATGATTTATTAATATTTAATTACCTAAACAATAATTACACATTATTTAATTATAATGACAATTCTAAGGAGCTCTTATGACGTACATAAATAAATAAAAATTTAACAATAGTTCCTCAAAAACTTCGGAGAAACCTTTCTTACCCCTAAAATTAAAAAATACAAGGATGCGTTTAGTAATGTGATGAAATGTGATATGTGAGGGGAAAAAATAAATTTGGCATTTTGTATAAACTGGGTCAGGGTTAAAAAGCTCATTAATATTGTATTCATTCGATGAAATGTTTTACACCGTCATGTGAAGAAATTCAAAAAGAAAAATCATCATTCCCAGCTTATCAGCGACTGATTTTTTTGAAAAGGTGGTTTTTTTACATACCTATCTGTCACGTGAAATTATTGATTTTTTTATTATGAAGGATTTAATTTTACAATATCTGATGACGCCGCCTTGAAATTTTGTAATCTTAAAATTAATAAAACAATATAAAACAGAAAAATTATGTTATTGAAACCTATAAAAAAATAAAAAAATTCAAGGTTGAAGATTGAAGAAAAAAAAAAAATTTTTTTTTTTTTTTTTTTTCAAGCCTATTTTTATAACCAATTACTCACTTCACGTATCTGTCCCTAAATAAATGTGACGTAGTGACATTTAAAAACTGATGAGTGGCTTAGAATTGATTAGAGGAATATGATCAAAATTTTTTAAAAAATTTCCCTTTTCCTTTCCTTTTTTTTTTTCTTTTTTCTTTTTTCTTTTTCTTTTTCTTTTTTTTTTTTTTTTTTTTTTTTTTTTTTTTTTTTTTTTTTTTTTTTTTTTTTTTTTTTTTTTTTTTTTTTTTTTTAATGAAAACTTACATGATCTTGTTTGATTAATATGACATTGTTTGGAAAATTATATAATCAAGTTAGACCACTATTATTTGTACGTGAAGTATGCTATAACGATGGGTTACGTAAACAAATTCTTTATTCAATAAATACAAAGGTTCAATTGTCATTTTTAAAGAGAACTATGTATACAAGAGATGAAATTGATAATTTTACAGATCATGAAAGATTTATTGAAGAAACTGAAGATTCAAGGGAATCAGAAAATTTTTCAACCATTGACGAAATCGTTGATGATACAATAGATACACTTGATATAATTCCGGACAAGGATGAATTGATTAAAAACCCTCCAATCGTAAGGCGTAACAAACATTGGTCTAGGTTAGAAGTAAAGGTTTTGGAAAGTCTCATCGAAAAGTATGGAAAAGATTGGGAAACGATCTCTCAACATATGTTCGAGAAAACACCGCAAGAATGTGAAGCTCAATATGAGGATATGATGAAGGGTCGACCGGACCTTAGACAACCTCTTAAAGGTTTACCTGACTTCACCGAAAGTGAAATCGCTCAGATAAATAATTTAATTGAAGAGAATGGTCGTAGTTGGCGTAAGATTGCGAAACATTTTTATGGTAAATCCGCACTCGCAGTTGAAAGTTTTGTAAAGAATAATCCGAATAGATTTCCATCCCTTTACAAACGTTCCATAATCATGAAACAATTTAAGGGATCGGCTTGGACGGATGAGGAATTAAAATCCTTGAATGAACTCATTGTGAAATATGGACGAGATTATGATGCAATTTCAGAAGAGTTGCCTGGTAGAAGTCCCAAAGCCATAGAGAGAAGCATCTCAAAACACATGTTGGACCTTCCTGCGCTTCATTCTGGAAAAGTCGCGGATTGGTTCAGATCTTCAACCATTTGGAGTGAATCAGAAACGCGTTTATTAAATGAACTGGTCGAAACTTATGGTTTCAATTGGGAAAAGATCTCGGAATACCTACCAGGTCGATCACCCATTTCTTGCAGCGCTAAATTTTATGGCAGCTGGTCAACTTGGAATACCAAAGTGACCGCCCTGGTGCCTCACAAATGGCCCAAAGAAGTATTACAATTTTTAGACTTGTTGATAGAAAGATACGGGAGATGGCAAATCATACCACTTCTCATACCAGGAATAACGCCCGCAAACTGGTTTTCGCCCTTTTACCCTCAATCTAGAGTTTGGACGACGAGTGAAAAAGTGATTTTACAATATTTGGTAAGAACTCTTGGATACAATTGGGAAAAAATTTCAGAATATTTTCCTCACAGGCAACGTTGGTCAATTATTCGTGAAGTACTCGGTAATATTGAATATTATGAATCCGTAAATGCAAATGAGAATGATTTAATAACAAAACTTGCCGTGCCAAAAAAGCAAAAACGTCGTTCTTCACTTTGGCCATATGATGAAGTGAAGAAATTATATGAACTCAAGGAAAGATATTCTTCTAATTGGTATAAAATATCAGGGGAACTTCCTGGTAGAACTCCTGCTGCATGTTATCTAAAGGATTTCGTACTCACAAATGCGTGTAAGGAATTAGATAATAAGTTAAGCGCTCTCGAGATTTGTCATTTACAAGAACTCCTCAGAAATCATGGCGACGATTGGGATATTATCTCGAAATATATAAAAAATAAAGATATAAATGAAATTAAGAATATTATAAATGAATATCCTAAAATTTTCCCACCTGTATTATTTGGATCACAAACCGGAATTACAGGTCATTGGACGGAAAAGGAAGAGGCATTATTTAAAAATCTTATCGCATCACATGGAAATAATTGGAAATTCATCAAAAATTTTTTCCCAAGGAAATCATACAAACAACTCTATGAATATTATCAAGCGAATCGAGAAACTTTTCCCGATGCGTATTCTATGAATACAAATTATTGGGTATTTAATCGATCCTCATGGAAGAAGGAAGAAAATGATTCATTAAAAGAATTAATAACTAAACATCATGGTGATTTTGATTTGATTTCACGCAACCTTCCTGGTAGGACAAGTGCTGCTATTAAAGCTCATATCCGTAATCATCCTGAACTTTTCTCCTCAAAACCAGGAATTGAACAAAATCGACAATCGAAAGAAATTTGTAAAAAAGGTCAAAAAGTTCAGAAAGATCAGAAAGGGTCAAATATATATTGGACAACAGAAGATGAAAATAAATTACTAGAATTGGTGAATTCTCACCCAGTTGATTGGAGTAAAATTGCTGCTGAATTTCCTTCTAGATCATTAAGTGCCTGTAAAACCAAATATCGTTCTTTACTAAAACCAGAAATGACGATATCGAGATTTATTGATACTTACAAGGTTTCATAAAATTCAATTTATCAATTTGTTATTAGGAAGAGATTGTAAATAAATGTTTTTCAAGAAAAGATGGGTTCAATAAAAAAAAAAATCTAGTATATAAGAGTGCGTTACACGACAAAATCAATGCAAAGTAGATCAATCGGGATCTAAGAACCGATTTGAAGGTTGACCTTCCGTAAACCACAAAAATGAACTATACACAAGCTCTTTAAATAATTCGAACGACTCCTCCAACTAATTCCTTAAAACGTCACGTCCGATTTCCATGTTTGTTCAACCACAAGAAAAATTTTCAAATAAAATTTTCGAAATAACCACCAACCATAACTTTAATGCGATGCCGGCGCCAGAGAACGCAACGTCTCCTACATCACCTTTTTCTTTTGTTCCTTCTACAATTTTAGAAGGGGATGTAGCTTCTGTTAATTCTTTCAAGTCAACGGATACCAACTATACCGGAGATCAAGAAAGTTTAGCTTCCGACTTTGCAGTAAGGGAAAATGATCTGCAAGGAATAATAAAAATCCTTTGTGAGCTTGATGTATGATTATATTTTGTTTATTAATTCTAATTTTTTTTTAAGGACTATCTAATTTTTTTTCTTTTTTCTTTCTTCTTTCATTAGGGTGGTCTGAGTATAGCATTAGAAAGAGTAAAACAAGATGTAGTGACAGCAAAAGCATGTATCATTTAATTATTTTTTATTTTTATTTTTCATCATTTAATTATAATTATTAATATTTTATCCAATTACAATACTTTCGATTTATTAGGAAGTGGCCACTTTTTTGAGAAAAAGAGCCGCAATAGAAGAAGAGTACGGTAAAATGATGATGAAATTAGCAAAGAATTTACAAGAAAGTCATCATACTAATGATACGAAACAGGGGTTAGTTTCTCGAATTTTTTTTTTTTTACTTTATATTATTATAGTTTGTTGATTAATATTCATTTTATAATTAGATCATATGGTGACAGTTGGTTAAGCATATTAAAAATACACGAAAATATAGGAGAAAATAGGGTTAAACTTGCATCCGCGATTCAAGAAATATCTGAAGATGTAACTGTCCTTTATAAGGACATAGATAAAGCCAGAAAAAATGTATTGAAAAAAAATCCTTTAGTTATTACTAAAATATATTTATTAATACTAACAATAAAAAATAATATTGCAAAATTTTAAATAGCTTAAAGATTCCGGGCAAAAATATGAAAAAGCAATTCAAGATTCAGAAACTTCCTTAGAAAAGGTGACTGTTAAATCTTTATTTTTTTTAAAAAATGTTTTCCTTATATACATCTCTTATCTTTATTATCTTTATAGGCTAAAGGGAAATACGATTCATATAGTGAAGATTGGGAACGTACTATTTTACAAAAGCATGGAGATTCTCCTACTACCTCAAAACCAAAGACTTTGCCAAAATCAATATTTTCTAAACAACCAAAGACCCCAACACAGGTTCAATTATAATTTATTTGAAATATATAAATTGGATTGGATTTTATCATGATTTACTAAATGCGGTCTAATCCTGAGTGTTCATAAAAAAAAAAATCTCTCTAGTTAGTTAAAATGGAAGAAGATGCTAGAAATAAAGCCGAAGCTGCAAATGCAACATATAAACAACAGCTAATAGCTGCAAATACAGCACGCCATGACTATTATGACGTACAACTACCCAGCATAATTACGGTAATATACTATATATATATTCGTTTCTTAATTTGTAATTGTAATTTTTTTTAAAAGATAAATATTGAAGTTTTTCTTTTAAAAAAAATAGACCCTCAAAGAAACTGCCGATGAATGTGACGTAGGTCTTCAATATCATTTGGCGCGATATTCTTACTTATTTGAAAATACTATTGTATGCGACGGTTTGCTTATAAACCCAATCAATGACGAAGATGGTAATTACGCAAATAAAACAAAATGAAGATCTAATCATGACATTTAGTTTTTTTTCCACCCTGCATACACGTATTTTAAATTTTTTACCAGATGAATAATGCTCATTTTACAACATCTTCACTTTATTCTCTCTCTTTAAGGTCCTGCTTTACGTAAAACCGTGGAAAAAATCAGTAATGACGAAGATTTTTACAATTATGTGAAATCTCATGACGTTATGACAAGAAAGACAAAAAAATCTGATATTCCATATGATCAATATAATTTGGTATAGCATTAACTCGTATAAAAATTTTTGTATTGGCGATTTTATTTTCTTATTCTATTTTTCTTTTAGTCTACACAAGCTGTCAACATCATAAACCCAAAGAATATTTTTGGCGTGGATTTAGCTGAGCAAATGCAAAGAGATGGTCATGAAGTTCCATTAATACTGGTTAAATGTTGCGAAGCAATTGAACAATGTGGTGAGATTAGCAAACAAATCCATATACTCAAATCTTGCTTATTAATCATTCCTGGTAAATATTTTATTAGGAGGATTGCAAAGCCAAGGTCTTTATCGTATTTCAGGAGTAACGTCTCATGTTCAAAGATTGCGGACGCTGTTTGATAGAAGTAAGGTTTTAATCTACTAAAACTATTAACATATTCATTGAAAGTGTAATTCATATTTTAAACATATTTTTAACAGATGCGGACATGTTTGATCTTAATGCGGAAGAAAATCTTGACGTGAATGATATCACTAGCGTTTTAAAATTATGGTTTCGTGAACTACCCGATCCACTCTTTACAAAGGATATGTATCAAGATTTTATTAATGCTGCAAGTGAGTATATAACATCTTAATTAAAATTATTATTTAAATCCGAGAATTCAAAGAATTTTAAATGAATTACGCATCGTCATTAAGAAAATCCCGACGATAGAAGACGTGTCCTTGAGCTCCATGACCGTGTTAATCATCTTCCGGACGCAAATTATAGTACTCTAAAATATTTGATGCGCCACTTAAATGAGTAAGATAATCTTTTAATGATTCTTAAATTATATTTATTTATTTAAGTATGATTCTAATAAGTTGAAATATTTATAGGGTAGTAAAAAATCAAGAATATAATAAAATGAATGTACAAAATCTTGGTATAGTTTTTGGTCCTACGTTAATGGGAAGTCCAGTTGTAGGGGTTTCAAATTCTACACCAGGTATTTCGGGTCCAGTATTATTACAAAGTGATGGAGCAGGACTCAATGATATGAGTTGGCAATGTAAAGTTGTAGAAACAATCTTAATGAATTATCGTTCTATTTTTGTTATGGAATAAGCATTTGTGTGTCGATAAGATAGATTTATTTATGATAATTTGATCCTGGTGATAATAAATATAATAGATAGATCTATTAAAAAAAGTGATGTTTTTTTATTAGCAATCTTTTTTTTTTTTTAAAAAAAAAAAATAGTTATGAATGCTTACAATATTACATGGTAAGCATTTAATATATACTAAAAAAAAAAAAAATAAAAAATAAAAATAAAATAATAATAATAATAATCATTATAATCATTGAATATATAAATAATAAGAGGTATTTATTGTTTTATCATTAATTATTTATTTATTTTCTTCGCTTTATATTAAATTTTTTTTTTTTAATATTTTAATAATAAATAGTTTAACAATTTACCAATTTTGTAAAAAATATATTATAAATTTGATTACTTATTTAATATCATTAAAAAAAAGAAAAGAAACCAAATATATTTTTATCGTAATTTGTTTAAAAAAACACTTTTGTTAAAATAAATTTATATTATATTTATATAAGAAATTCTATCAGTTAATATATTTATTTTAATTTTTATAGATTTTTTTGATCTACTAAATGAATTTAATTATAAAAACTTATTTTTAAGATTAATATATAAAGCTAAAATATAATAAAATTTAAGTTAGTTAGTAATAACATTTTTATATTAATGTATTTTACTTGTATATAAAATATTTTTAAATATTTTTTTTTATATTAAGATTTATTTTTATCATTCTTAATAAATTAAATTTATATTTAATGATAATTAGATAATGTTTATATATTAAATTTTATGTAAAAATAATTTTAGAAATTCAAAATAAAAATTTATGTAAAATTATATTTCTTGATTATTATATATATAATATTATATAAAATTATAAAATTACAATATAAATATAAAATTTATGAATGTATTATATTAATAAAATAAATAAAAACTAATTATCAAAACCTTTTTTCTTAAATAAATTAATTGATTTCATAAAATATATAATTAAATTACTAATAAATTTATAAATTTCTTTCATTTTAAATATTTATATTTCTTTAAATAATTAATTAATTTATCTCTAAGATTTTAAAGATTAATTTTATATAAAATTATAAATTTTACTTTAAAAAAAAAACATAAAATTTTAATTTAAATTTAATAATATTAATATATATCTTACAAATTTAATAGTAAAAAATATTTATAATATTTATTTAAAATAAGTAGTAAATAAATTTTATTATATATTTAAATCTAAAAGATTTTTATAATAAAACTATTATCCCTTAAAGCGTAGATATAAATTGGCTATAAAACATTATAGAAAAATTATAATATTTTAATATCTAATGATTATAAAAAGATGAAATA